TGTTGTTTATATTTGAGGAGGTTTACATATTTTGGAAAACATGAATAAAAGTGGCAACTTTAATCAAACATTAACTGTAAGGAGGAAGGACCTGCTCTCTTGAGGCTAGTTTGATCTTTTCCTAATTTTAAACTCAAACCCTTTTTGGGAGGGGGCTGTCTTAAAGAAGAAACAATATGGCCTGAATTTCCCTAATTGGAAACCATTGGAAGAAGTATTTCTTGCTTCTTAATTTCCTAGTTTATCTATTACCAGTCATTTAGTCTTATTGCTCTTTGTTCCCTATTTCATCTTTTGCATATTTCCCCTCCCAACCCACACTGATTTTGTAAAATAAGTAAACTGAGTCTTTCTCCCATATCTCAGTTTAATAAAAATTTGTTTCTTTGCTTCATACTGGCTTTTAATTGATTATTTTATTACTATACTTATATTAAAGATTTGACTAAATGAATGCTTTTTAGTTTCTTGGAGGTTTCCCTGTTCCTGGAGATTTAGCTTTTTAAATAGGCACCACTTAGCTACTTCCTCACATGGGACTGGAAATTACCATTATGATTTTTATGGCATTCTGGGCTTGGGTGGGGTGCAGTGGGTGATGTAATGCCAAGAACACAAACCATATACCTATACCAGCACAAGGTTTTGGGGCCTCATTAATTTTAAGGCTCCAAGGAGGTGGAGTCTGCTGAAGGACCTTGGCGATGGTCCTTCCTCATTACTCTTCCAAGGGTCTTTTCTGCAGAATTGTGCTCTAAGACTTGTATGTATTTAGGCTCATCTTCCTCTTGTACTTGTTCATGGACAGTTCTAACCTCAGAGTAATACATTCAGATTATATTTTTGTCATCTGTAAAGTGAAGTTAGGGTAGCACTAATTGATTTGCAAGGCCCCTCCAAGATATGAAAAGGGTATACTAAGCTTTTTACCCATGACTTGTGGACTGTGTCTCTTTAGTCACTCTGCATGTATCTGATAGCTGGTAAGTAAGTCTAGTAGAGCAGGCCACTGCCCTGGGAGGTTATACACCAGGCTATATTGTTCTGTCTCCTGTGGAAATCATCCAATCCAAATCAGACTCAGCATTATTCGAGGATTGGCATAATAAACTGCTCTATGAAGACCACCCTAAAAAACTGATGGGAAATGGACCCAAATGCGATGATCCATGTGATGGCATTTTTACAATGACAGAATATCCCCGTGTCCATACAGCGAGACTGGTTATTTTTTCTCGCTGCCATTTTCACATAAGGAGAGCTGATAGTTGATACTAATAGTGTTTTCTTTTTTAACCTTTACTGCTGAAGCTAAGTTTATTGCTCAATCACAAGAGCCTTTCTTTTATTCCCGTTTTAATGGCCTTGTGACTTTATTGCATGGGTGTCCAAATTTATAGTTTCTTTAAAAATTAGCAATAAATTTGCAGTTCTGTATCTCAGCTGATGAACAGCTGCTGTGTCTTGCTGATGGCTGACAAGCAGCTTATTGTATTCTCACCGTTAATGGAAAGTGTAATTCACAAGAAGGTCACAGAAGTTCTCACTAAATAGCTTCGTGACTTAAATTATGGTACATTCCTACTGAAATCAAAACATGAATTGAAAGAACTTCGAAGACCTAATCCATGTTTTTAAATAGAAATGCTGACCTTCATAGTTCTGCATTGATGTGTAACTCTACAGTGGGCTCTTCCACTAGATTCATCAGATGTGTGTTCATTGAGGGCCAGCATCTGCCAACCCTGTGCTAGCCAGGGAGCAAAATGAAAATTCCTGCCCTCATGGAGCTGATCTTCTAGTAGAGAAGACAGTTTTAAACAAAATGAACATTCAGCACATGTAGTAAGTCGGACAGTAAGTGTTTTTCGATGAAGCAGGAGAGGGGAACAGGGATGTGGGTGCTGGTGGTGGGTGTAATTGAATGGGCGTAATTCAGGTATGGAATTGGCAGTAGGGGTAGGTGGGTGTCCGTGTAAGGGCCTTGAGCTGGGTGTACCTGCTGCACTCGGGAGGCCTCTTTGGATGGGGTGAGTGAGGATCAGCAAGAGAACCCGAGGGGCAGTGAGAGGTGCTGGCTGGTGTGCAGCTGGCTTCAGGGTTCCGGGAAAGCCATCTGAGTAAGCAGAATGCCTTCAGAGGGCTCTAAACAGTGAGGGACAGTCTGACATGGGTTTGATGTGATCCTGAAAGCTTTTTAACCAGGCTTTGGGAATAATTACGGGGTAAAGGTGGAGCAGGAAGGCCCTTGTGAAGGCCAGTGCACGACTCCAGATGAGCCCATAATACTTAAGAGAATTTACCCACAGATGGGACATGAGAGAGAGAAAAACCAAGACTGAAGGTTTTTGGTCTAAGCAACTGGTGTTAACATAAATTGAGATGGAAAGTCTGGGAGGAGCAGTTGGTTGTAGGGTATCGTGTTCAGTTTGGTAGTTAAGAGTTGGGACTAGATACCTAGAAGAGCTGTCCAGCAGGCTATCTGTAGTTCATGTCTGAGGTATGAGTTGAAGGGTGAATCTGAGCCATCAGCACATAGCTGGTATTTCAGAATGATTGAGAGAGGTCCAGCACCTGGGAGATCATGCAAACCTTCGAAGAACCTCCACAAGACAAGGCCAGGAGACTAGAGCCAGGCCAGGGAGGCGAGGGAGGGAGGCTGGCTGTGGAGGAGGTGGGAGTGAGCTCTGGGCAGGTGCTTGTGGTGGGCAAGGCAGGCTGGATAGGGGCAGTTTGGTCAGTACAGCAACTCTTGGGAATTATGCTCTGAAGGGGAGGTGGGAAGTAACAGTACAGTGTGTATTGGGAATGACCTGGGAGGCAGATGGCCAGGGACTCGGAGAGAACTGCTGATGGTAAAAAGGGGAGGGCATATCAGTATCTTTGGGCAGGAGCAAGGCCAGGTGGTGCCCATAAGTAGCCACAGGTGGGGTGGCTAAGTTCAAAGGAACTGATGGGGAAGACAGCAATGTCACTAGCTCACTGAGGAAGGAGGAGCTGGGGTTTAGAAGGGAGAGGAGAAGGTATGACACTGTGGTCCAGGAGGACGGGGCCCAAATGGGGCCCGCAGCCTTGGACATACCAGCACTAGTGGTCATGGTTAGGTGTGATGGATACATAAAGTTGTAGGTTATGTACTTGTTACTTTGTTTTAGAAAAACAATTTCACAGATGATAAATGAATATGGGCTTATAGAAAATTCAGCAGTCCTGAAGGATCAAGAATGAAAGTCAGCTCATATTGTCTATATTCCTTCCCTAACAGTATGTGTCATTTCAGACCATCTGGTGTGCATCTACACACACGGACATGTGACTACACATACATGCATTTTTAGAAAACAGAATAGGGATCATATACTGTTTGGCAATTTTCCTTTTATGTTCCTTTCTGTTAGTATTATATTCTGGAGACCTTTCCATTATGGTTCCTGCAATCAAACCACTCACATTAGTGTCTGCAGTGTTTTATAACAGGGTGTACCTTCATTTACCTCTCCCTTAAGATTGAGCACTTAGGTTGTTGATTTGGTTGGTGGGCTCTTTTTTTCATGTGCACCATAGAAGAGGCTCTCTTCAGCCACTTGAAAGGTTAGAATTCAGGATTTTATGTTGATTTCGGATTATTTTCTTAAGCCACTTGTAGAACTTTTAGAAACCAGGAAAAAGCTTGAATTGGGCCCTTGAAAACTTTCCACTAGCCTTCTCTGAGAGACATTTATTTAACCTGGAAGCCTTGGATCATGAATGGGCTTCAGGGTGGCTCATGTGACAGAGTCCAAAATATGTTAGTTTAAAGCAGGGTCCTAACTCGTCATTGCCATTAAAGACATTACTGAACATTAATCTCAGTCCAGTTGTTTTATTATATTAAGACTGGACTGTCTCCAGGACTTCTGAGAAATGGCAAATTTAATTTGCCAAAATGGCAACGGCATGCATTGCTCTGTTCCAGTTTTCTTGGGCTTGTTGCCCTACTTTTCTATTCAAGCCTTCTCTGTTAGCAGAATTTTAAATGACTCTTTATCCTGGCCAGAGAATCATTTTGAGTAAACAACTTGGATAATGTATGGTGTCCTCATTTGGAAGAGGTTAAGACTCAGGATTTTATGGTGAGTTTGGAATATTTTCTTGAGCCATTTTTAGAGCTCTCAGAACTCAAGAAAAGGCTTGAAAAAGGCCCCTGAAAACTTTTCACTAGACCTTTATGAGAGATAGGTATCTAACCTGGAAGCTATGGATCCAGGCCCATCATGAATGGGCTTTGGGTGTAGTTCTTTAATATACATTGTTTTAAGCAGGCGGTTGTTTATTTTCCTTTCTTATGAGGAAGTCTGAGACAGGCAGGCCAGGAGGCATGGCAGCTCCATAGATGTGAGGACCCAGGCTATTTCCTCCTTGTCCTTTGCTCCAACGTTCTAGCTCCTGTCCATCCTCATCCCTAGAGTCTAGCAGCGCAGGAGGGCCATGGTCACTGCCAGCTTTCTTTTGATGAGGTGCTGTCGCTGCCATGCACCGTGTCTGAGCTCATGTTCCATAGGTTCAAACTTGGCCAGGTAGCCAGCCACAGTGTGCTGTAGGAGAGGTGGGGGCTTTCTTTTGGTGCCCACATGGCCCTATAAATTAGGGCTCTTACACTGGTATTGGTAAAGCCTGTGAAACTTCGTAGAGTTTTGTCTATGCAAATTTCCAGGGAAAAGTTTCATGATTTGTTATTAATTAATTTCTAAAGCAGACTGAGACTCTAAAATGTCTTAAATCTATCAATTCAAAGATCAGTTGAATGGTATCTAACCGAGGTCTAACACCTTCATTACAGAGTTCAGTGTATCCCTTTAATAATCTTTGCTTTGGTTTTTAATTTGGGAAAAAAGAAGACTGAGATTATGGCATGAGTAGCTTTGATCTTCAAACTGACCCCCAGTTAACCACCAGTGACTTAGAGGTCATCTTCAGAGGACACACATTTAGCACAACACCTTATTTCCTTATCCTGACAGGTTCTCTGGAGCAGTTGCTGAGGATGAAGGTGGAAGAAACTCCCAGTGTTCAGCACAGGCACCAGGTTCAGAGAATATTACTGGATATAACTGAGGTTGGAATTGAGAATGTCCCCCACAGTTTATGCCTAAATATTTAGTTGTGTTATGCCTAAATATTTAGTTGTTCAGACACCTTTAAAAAGTGTGTAGTTTTTTTTTTAATTTTGAAAAGGCGATAAATGCATTTTATAAAAAATGCAAATAGTATAAAATAGTGAAAAGCAAAATATAATTTTCTTTTTACCCTTTATGTTCTGGGGAAATTCTGTGCATATGTTTCTAGCATATTTTTTAAAAAGTATGTTGTGTGCATTCTGCCCCACTTATATTCATGTAATACTGCATCTTGGGAGTTGGTCTTAGATATATTTGCCTCCCTTTACATTTATTTGAAATTCCATTGTTTGGCTGTTCCATACATTTTGTTTTTGTTGATGTTGTACATTTAGGTTGTGTCCATTTTGCTGCTAAAAGCAATGCCTTAGTTGTGTTTTTTTTTGTTTTTGTTTTTTGGTATGTAGATCTTTGTATAGATATATGAATCTATGTGCTGGAAGGATTCCTCAATAGGGAATGGCTATCTTGCTTGTTCTCCAGGGTTATACTCGCACCACCAGAAGCACAGGAGAGCTATTTTTTCTATTTCCTGATACTCTTCTAGTATAGTGTGTATCACACTGAATGTTGCTTTTGTTTTTTCCCCTTAATCTCCTGTTATACATATACTGGATCTTCTTTGTCACTATGCTACTTTTTCTTGAACTTTTTATTTCTTTTTCATTTAAAAAAATTTCTTCTTGTTTTTCTGAAGGCATAATTTATTGTTTATTTGCTCTTGGATTCCTTCTAATTTTCATTTCCAAAACTTTTTTTGCTTTTGTTTCTAACCTTTTCTGAGTTCTATCACTTCATTTTTGAGCTTTTCTCATGATGGTTTATAGTTAATAGTACCATATCATTTCCTTCATGTATTTTAACTTGTTTTGAAATATTAGGTAAGTATTTTTTATCTTTTTTGGTAACATGTCTTTCTAGCCTGTTTTCACTGACTGTAGTGATGTTATTTTCCTTCTTTTTTTTTCCAGAGAGGCAGGGAGAGGGGGAGAGAGAGAGAAACATCAATGGTGAGAGAAGAAACATTGATCGGCTGCCTCCTCCATGCTCCCCACTGGGGATCGAGCCCACAACCCGGGTGTGTGCCCTGATCAGGAATCAAACAGTGACCTCCTGGTTCATAGGTCAATGCTCAGTCACTGAGCCCACACTATATTGCTTCTTATTCTCTTTTAAAATTCAGTATCTTTTCTTCAATTGGACCTCAATTTTTTTTGTTTATTTTGATGTGTAATTAATTTTCCTAATTATTTAGAAGGGAGGCTTGATTTAGAATAGTTTTTCTAATTTCAGTGTTGTAAGCTCTTATTTTACATGTTTTTTAGGAAGTTAAAAAAAAAAAAGTAGCAATTCATTTTCTGAACTCTCCTGGCTCTGTTTTTCTCTCCCTCCTTTAATTAGACTTTGATTTGTCTCTGTCATTGTTTTCCCTGTCCTGTATATCTTTTATTCTGTTTTCAGTCTTTTCGTTTCAGTGTGTTTGGCGTACAGGGAGCTTGGGTGATTATTTTTAAGAGTTCATGGGCCCCAGAATGTTCTAGGTCTTCTGGACTTCATTGCAGACCTCTTGCATTTGTCTCCTGTGGGATTGTGCTCATTTCCTGGTTTCAGTTGCTGTTCTCAAGTTGACATTACTTCTCTCTGCTCCCTGTTTCTACCATGATGATCTTGTCGCTGTCAGTGGTGTGTCCCTACTTGCTTGCATTTTGGAGTTTGTTTGGAAGACCTTATCACTCAGTTCTGTTATGGACATTGACCTGGTTTTGCTATCCTAGCTGCTCCATGTGTTTTTATGGGGGGATTTGAGGAGACTAACAATCTTTTAGTAAAGGACTCAAAGTTCCTTTGGGAACTTTTGTTTCTTATCCAGATTGGTTATAAGTCTCTTTTTTGTTAAGGACTCTTGGTATTTTCTCACCTCATTCAGTCTTGTATGAAGTGATCATACATTTGATTAGATGTTTATAAAGGAAGATTTAAGAGAGGAGATTGGTTCCTCTAACAAGTTGTCTTCCCTATGAAATTCTGGAGCTACCATTTAAGCTGTAGAATATAAGTCTGGACAAAAGAGAAGAGGAATCATGTTGTTTATAAGATTTAAGAACACATGTGAAACTTGCAAATTAATTTAATGTTTGTTGGAACGTATCTTTAAAAGTTGTTGGTCAGGAGATTTCAATTTGAAAATAGATGATCTGAAAATTGTAAGTTATCTCTCTGCGGCCCCACAGGAATTGTGTAGAGATGGTAAGTTCTTACTGATGAAAGGAGCTGTGCTGTAGAGTTGAATGCATGGTTTCTGTCCTCAGGGAGCATGTAGTTGAGGTGGGAAAATAAATAATTTCTTTTATAAGTATTTACTTATAAATAAATAATATAAAGTATAATAAGATAAAAATATTACAGTGACATTGATTCCTGAGTTCTTCAGGATATCTTCTTTTTCAAGTACTAAATTTGGATATCTGATTGCGAGGTCATATTTAAAATGATATGGCCTCATTTTTGTTTTGGAAAAGAAGGTCTCTCGAGGCCTAATCAAAGTGTTTCAGGATCAGGAAGAAAGTAACTATTCCAAACACAATGCTAGGCTCAGGGATGACAGTTCACACCAGAGGTGGCCCTGCCCCAGAAGATGCCCTGTGGATAAGATGGCAGTGCTCTCGGGCATAGTAGGGGACTGTGTTGCAGTTCATGTCTGTGCTGGAAGCCAAGGGGAAGCAAAATAGAGGAGCTCAGAGAGAGGGTGGATTTGAGTAGGAGAAACGGAGTATGGGGTTAGCCTTGGCTGAAAAGTCCATTAGGTAAACTTTGGGAGGTGAGAGTTTTATTACTGGTGGAGACAACAGTGCAATGGCTTTCTGGGGTGTGGTGTGAGCTGATACCCCACGGGGAGCAGGTGGAAGATAGGATGTATTCTGTGGGCTGTAGGGAACCATTGGAGACTTTTGGCTTGGGGATGACGTGTTTAAGCCATTTTAGGAAGGTGACTTTGGAGGCGGTGTGAGGAATGGGTTGATAAAGTGAGAGGCTCTCAGGTAGGGCTAGACAGAAGCAATGAGAATTTTTTTGAACTATTTCTCAATTCTCCAAAAGTGCTAACCTTTTGGTGGTTTGGGGCAAGAAGAACTCTATATTAAAAACAAAATTTGAGACCGCCTGATGTTCTCTTTTTATTTTAATTTTAATTATCCTCACCTGAGGATATATTATTGGTTTTAGAGAGCGAGAGAAAGGAAGGGAGGTGGGAGAGAAAGAGAAAGAAACATCAATGTGAGAGTGAAACATTGACATGTCCCAGGGATAGAATCCACAACCTAGGTATGTGACCTAACTGGGAATCTTAACCCACAGCCTTTTGGTGCACAGGATGACGCTCCAACCAACTGACCAGAGCCTGTTGTGCTCTTGAATATGTATGGTTAACAGTTTTCATTTCACAGGTCACAATCATTAATCTCCCTCTCTGCTCTTGTGTTTGTTTTGTAGGTGACAGAATCCTAGTCCTGTGTGAGTTTGATTCTTGCTTGTTGACTGGCCCCTCTTCTCTCCTTCTGGATGATGTCAGAACAGGATCTGGCGGATGTGGTGCAGATTGCAGTAGAAGACCTGAGTCACCATCACCCAGGTATAGAGCTTTGTGAGAGCAGATGGACTTTGTTCTCTCTATTTATTATTATTATTGTTATTGTTATTATTATTATTATTTTAAAAGATACATTTTATTGATTTTTTACAGAGAGGAAGGGAGAGGGATAGAAAATTAGAAACATCGATGAGAGAGTAACATTGATCAGCTGCCTCCTGCACACCCCCTACTGGGGATGTGCCCGCAACCCAGGTACATGCCCTTGACCAGAATCGAACCCTGGACCCTGAGTCCTCAGGCTGACACTCTATCCATTGAGCCAAACCGGTTTCGGCATTCTCTCTATTTTTTAAAAATCCAAAAGTGCGCTAAGCTGGTGTGGCTCATTAGTTGAACGTCTACCCATAAACCAAGAGGTCACCTTTTATAGGTGTTCTCTCATTTATTGTGGGTGGCATTTATATTTTTTGCACTGTTTTTATTTCATATAAATCCATGCAGTAAAGATCCCTGCAATTATATCTTGGAAAATCATTTTTTTTTTTCATGGTAAATTCTCAGCAGAATTGCTTTGTATGTTTACAATTTTGATAAGGCACTGACAGATTTCCCAGAAATGTTTTACTATGTTACTATTCCATCAGCTGAGTGAGAACAATTACTTTCCTACACTTGGGCTAAGGCTGGTAATTTTTCTTATTGATGTTAAAAGCATACATCTACTTTGAAACCTTAGTTAAATATTTGTTTAAGAAGGCCTCATAAAAGAAACCCTAAATTTCAAGAACTTCACTTATGAAAAAACTTTGTCTACAATTTTATTTTGTAAAAGGATTTCTCAGTAAGTTTTCTCTTTATTTTTTTGCCTTAAAGTTTTCAGTTATAGTCACAAGTGCACATAATTAAGTCACTGAATGTCTGTTGCATGTTTTTTCCTTTTAGAATAGTGGAATTAAAATACTGAATTATTTTTCCTATATAAAAGATAATTTTCAGAAAGCATGATGTCTATCCTATGATCTATTTAATATGTCAATTGGGAAGTATTTCATTTGGAAATTAGTTATGATACAGAAGGGGAGAGTAATATAAATAATTTTGGAATTAAATGAGCGGTCATGAAATGAAGTGCTTCATTTCAGGAATACTATTCTTTTTATTTTGCTTCTGATTTTTTCTTCACAGATAGGATTCTATTTTATTTGTCACCATTGAAAGTCTAAATTTTAAACAGATTCTTGGACTTGGGGCCCCTATCCATTAGCTCGTTCAACGTTAGCCCCTGTCTTATTTCTAGTAGTTTTATTGGAGCTGTGACTTTCACCACAAAGCTCCATGAGTTTTCCCAGTTCAAACTTGGGCTTCTTCAGCATTTTTACTTTTCTAACAAAGACTTCGTGGAGTGGATAAATAGGTTGGCAAACCTTTCTTCTAACTTTTCTAATGCTCTGGAATAAACTTATTAAGATCACTTTTATGGAATCATTTGTATCTCTTAGGTCATGATTTTCATCATCTTTTTCTGGATTTGGTGGGCCAGTTGATGCTGAACACAGGTCTTCCGAATCTGATTGTTGTCATTTTTAGTAAAACCAACATAGAATAGAGAAGCAAACAACCATTGGTAGTTATTTAAAAAAAAAAATACAGAGAGAAAGGGAGAGAGATAGAGTTAGAAACATTGATCAGCTGCCTCTTGCACACTCCCTCCTGAGGATGTGCCAGCAAACAAGGTACATGCCCTTGACTGGAATTGAACCCAGGACCCTTCAGTTCGCTGACCAAGACTCTGTCCACTGAGCCAAACTGGTCAGGGCCCAATGGTAGTTTTGACATCAACATGAGTCATGCTCTTTAATTTTGTCATGGGTAAGATCCATGCCGTGGAAATCAGGTGGTTTTGCCCTGTACATTTAGTAATTAGCTTGAATTTTCTAACTGCAATGTCATCATTCTGCAGATCAGTTTGGCTCACTTCAAAACCATGACCCTTGAGACCATCAGATGTGATTTTGGTTCCTTGACGAGTGTTTTTGTGATATTTCTTATATTGAACATAGCTGGTGCTTTCACATCACACTGATCTTTCTTAGATAAGAGACCAACCCATTTTCTTGGCTCCCTGTTAGCCACGTAGTGACCTGTGTACGTGGCTTCCCTGTGTTTACCCCAACGCCTTTTGTTTAATTATTGCCAACTACCATGGTGCTGCTCAGAGAGCCAAAAGCTGCTTCTGATTTTTTTAGTAAGAAGCAATATCCCTATTAATTGGCAAAATCAAGAGCCTCATCAGATCATTGAACAAAGTTGGGGATATGAGTGCAGCTCTTCAACTACAATTTTCTCTGTAAAAACTAACCAATTTGTTTAGAGCTAGAACTTGTAGCTCTGACCTCGTTAGCACCACACCTTAGATACCTTTGAACTTAAAAAGAAGTAGCACTAGCACTGTATATAGCAATTTAAAAAATATCCATGTTTATATTTTGGGAGGTGAACAACAATTTCTTTAGAAAGCACACACTGCAATGTTATAAAAGAGAAATTTCTGTTCACATACAATTTAAGCATTTTTAGAACTATTAAAATTCTGATAGCTGATTTCCTACATAAATTCCCTCTTTGTAGATTATAGTCCAAGGAAGGCATAGAGAAGTCATTTCTAATCTTGTTTTGTGCCTTCTCTGTTCCTTAAATAACTGGGAATTATAGTTTATTGACTGTTTAATGAGAACCTGTATGCAAGGCTCTCTGAGGCCTTTATGGGCAGAAAGCCTGCAATTTCTGACTCAAAAGAACTTGCACACACCCAGCAAATACCATGGTGCATTACACATGTTTGTATTCAGAATGGGTTTAAGATTGAGATTATTTTTCCATCATCTCTAAACTATGACCTTTAAGAAATTTAGAAGTATAGTTAAGCAAGTAGAATAAACAAAAATTTCCCATAATCCTAATAGAAGAACTGCTTTTAAAATGTTGGCATGTAAGTCCCAATTTCCATTTAAAAATAAATGTTTCGGTTTTGGTTTGCATGTGCTCACCATACAGCTGCACTTACTTCACTTGTCTGCATGTAACTTTCTTTGGACCTATCTTTGCAGGTGGTTGTGCTGGCTCTAAAATGAGTATTAAGCCCTGGGTGGTTTTACTTAGCATCTTTACACTTTCCTTAGAGCATCGGCCTTCGGACTGAAGGGTCTTAGGTTCCATTCTGCTCAAAGATATGTACGTTGATTACAGGCTCCATCCCTGGTCCCGGTTTGAGGTCATGTGGAGGCAACCAATCGACGTGTCTCTCACATTGATGTTTCTTTCTGTCTCTCTGCCTCCCTTCCACTCTTTCTAAAAGTCAATGGAAAAAATATCCTCAGTGAGGATTAACAAATAAAAAGGAGTATTGAGTTCTTTAATATAAATCTAAAAGTAATGCACACAAAATTATAACAAGGATGCAAGAAAGGACAAAGAAGAAAAGAAACTGTGGTCCTGCAGCCAATGGGAAATTATTGGTGAATCCTGGTGTTGGTGCCTATGCCATCTGCCACAGGCACATCTCCTTTTACGCATCTGCTTCATTACTCTTTGCTTCTAGCCTGAGGTGCTTCACGCTGCCAAGGGGCATGGAGTCTTCTTTCTGTGGTTACAGGAACAAGCTATGTGGCTCTGGACAAGTCACTTAACCTTTCTGGACTTGTTTTCTATTCAGCAAATTAAAAGGATTAAAATGATTGCCAAGGTTTCTTTCTGTCCTCCTAGTCCTGGTATAATTACCAGTTTTCTTTAGAGGTGACAAAAATTTTGGGAACCTGTGTTTTGGTAACCACAAACACTTGTAGATGATGATTTCCCCCCTTTTTACTTAATTAAATGAACACTCATTTTTATCTATTTTTGTGGAGGTGGTCAAAGCATTTCCTGCCCTACAGGATCCTGCTCTACAATGATCTTGGCAAGATGCTTTTTAAAAAAATCTTTATTGTTCATATTATTACAATTGCTCCTCATTTTTCCCCCCTCCATTGCTCCCCTCCACCAGGATCCCACCCCACCCTCTGCCCTTTCTCCCACCTCCATTGTCCTCATCCATAGGTGCACAGTTTATGTTCAGTCTCTTCTTGCACCCCCCACTTCCCTTTTCCCTGAGAATCGTCAGTTCACTCCCCTTCCATGCCTCTGATTCTATTATATTCACCAGTTAATATTGTTCATCATATTTTTTAATCCCTTTGGTTTTTAGATTCACTTGTTGATAGTTACATATTTGTTGTTCATAATTTTTATCTTTATTTTCTTCCTCTTCCTAAAGAACCCCCTTCAACAATTCATATAATTCTGGTTTGGCGGTGATGAACTCCTTTAGGTTTTTTTTTTATTTGTGAAGCTCTTTATCTGGTCTTCGATTCTGAGTGATAGCTTTGCTGGGTAGAGTATTTTTGGCTGTAGGTTCTTGCTATTCATCAGCTTGAATATTTCTTGCCATTTCCATCTGGCCTGCATGGTTTCTGTTGAGAAATCAGCTGACAATTGTAGGGGTGTTCTTTATAGGTAACTACCTGCTTTTCTCTTGCTGCTTTTAATATTCTCTGTCTTTTGCTCTTGGAATTTTAATCACGATGTGTCTTGATGTGGTACTCTTTGGATTCCTTTTTTGTTTGGGGTTCTGTGCGCTTCTTGGACTTGTAAGTCTAATTCTTTCCCCAGGTGGGGAAGTTTTCTGTCACTATTTCTTCTAATATGTTTTCGGTATCTTTCTCTCTCTTCTTCTGGACCCCCATAATTCTGATGTTGGTTTGCTTAAAGTTGTCCCAGGGGTTTCTTATATTATCTTCAGCTTTCTGGATTCTCTTGTCTTCTTGCTTCTGCAGAGGAGTGTCTTCTGGCTCTTTATGTTCCAAATCTTTGACTTGATTCTTGCGATCTTCCATTCTGTTTTTAGGACTCCGTGTAATATTTTTTATTTCAGACAATGTATTCTTTATTTCTAGCTGATCCCTTTTTATTTCTAGTTGATCCCTTTTCATATCCTAATAGGTCTCGTTTATTTTATCGGACTTTTCTAGGAAGTTCTTTTTTTTTTTTTTTAATATATATTTTATTGATTTTTTACAGAGCAGAAGGGAGAGAGATAGAAAGCTAGAAACGTCAATGAGAGAGTAACATCGACCAGCTGCCTCTTGCACACCCTCTACCGGGGATGTGCCTGCAACCAAGGTACATGCCCTTGACTGGAATCGAACCCGGGATCTTTCAGTTCGCAGACCGACGCTCTACCACTGAGCCAAACCAGTTTCGGCATCTAGGAAATTCTTGAAAAACCTTATAATCGTGGTTTTGAACTCTATATCCAGTAGCTTTTTGACCTCCATTTCTTTCGTTTGTGATCTGTTTCCTTGTCTTGGCATTTTCACAGCTTCCCTGGATTGGTAAGGTGGCTTTGTGTGCTAAGGTGTCCTATATGGTTCAGTGGGTCAGCCTCCCACTTATCTGAGGTGGGCACTCTTGGTGCACCCCTTTGTGGACTGTGTGTACGGCCTTATTATAGTTAAGTCTTGATTGTTGTTTGTATCACTGGGAGGAACTGACCCCAGGCCAATTGGCTGTGAGGATCAGCTGTGTCTATGCCGGGAAACAGCCTTATTTTACTAGACTTGGAAAATTGCAAAAGCCTCTGTGCTCAGCTTGGATGGGGCGGAGTTTCAGGGTGGAGCCTACAGCCTTGGCTTCTCATCAACCCCACCCTATGAGGTTCCTGAGTCTCAGTGTTCCCCAGTGACCTTCAGTACTCATTGCAAGCACTTCTGAGAGAAAGGTGCCCTCGAGTTTCGCCCACTACCAGACAGCCTAGTCTCTCCCCCAATGAGCCCGGAACTGGGGTTCAGTGCAGTTGGAAGTGGGGTTGGAAGTGAGGTTCAGTGCAGTCCGGAGCTTTTGTCTCCTTCCCGCTAGGGCAGTTCAGCAGCACAGTCAACATTCCATCCTCTGTGTGCAACGTGCGCTCCTCTGGGACTCTGTGACTTTCGCTGCTCCCCTGAGTTTCCGCCTTACAGCCCAGATTTCCTCCGTATGAGCCTGGGTCCCCAGGGTCAGGCCTAGAACTGGGGTTCAGTGCAGTCGGAACTGGGGTTCAGCACAGTCTGGAGCTTTTATCTCCTTCCCGCTAGAGAACGCCAGCCAGGCACCCAGCCGCTCCCTCCTCTCCGACTTCATCCTCTCCCCGTGCACACACTGTGTCTCCATACCTTAGGCTTTTACAGCTCCTCTGATTTTCCTTCTGGTTTTCTCTTTTTTTCCAGTTGTAGAATTTCCAGTTAGTCAGCTTTCCTGTAGTTCTGGATAATGTCTATTTTCTATTTTAGTTGTATTTTTTGAAATTGTTGTGTGAGGCTGCAGTTAGGCGTTTACCTATGCCGCCATCTTGGTTGGGCTCCCCTCCCCCCGGTAAGATGCCTTTTGTTATTGTCAGTCCTTGGCTGGTTCCTGCAGAGGAGCTTTGTGTAATCATCTCTGGGAGATCATTTTACTACGCCTGCCTAGGAACCATGAAAGGTTTGTGTTTGAGTCATGGGACTATGCAGTATCTTTATACTTAAGAGTTTTGAGATGAATTATCGAGTATGTATAAGTTTAAAGGCATTGACAACTCTTTTTTTAAAAATTGAGATTTTATTTGGAATCTCAAGATAGCCTGTTGAAGTGGCGGTGCTTTGATTGAGGTGGGGCCTGGGCCATAGTGACCTGTGCACTTGGCCTCCCTTGTGCTTTTCCTGACCCTCCCTGAGCAGAATAGAGATCTAATGCCAGATGCGCTGTGTCCAGCTTTTTGTGAGGTACTAGGGGGTTCTTTTTATAGTTCTGTGCCATAGTACGAGCAGGTACTACCCTGTTTCCCCGAAAATAAGACAGTGTCTTTTATTAATTTTTTCTCCCAAAGTTGCGATAGGTCTTATTTTCAGGGGATGTCTTATCTTTCCATGCGCTGGGTCTTATTTTCGGGGAAACATGGTAGTTCTAATACTCATGTGGGTCTGGTGGAAGAGGGATAGATTTCCTTGAGTGGAGGTGGTTGAGCACAAAGAAGATTGGAGGGGGAAGACCTAAGACTGTTAGACAACATTGTCTAGGTGAGGCAGGCATCTTCTGTCCACAGTGAGTTTATCCTGCTTAATTATAGCATGGGATGCATTTGAAAGGAGGTCTGATGATAGCCAAAGTGGTCAGTCTCCTTAGTTTATTCTCCATGGGTGGATACTCCCACAAGTGCTACAATAAGTGCACTTTTGTGTATACATGTATATATACACAATATTATAATATACATGATCTGTTTGTATATATGTGTAATGTATATTCTCATATACTGGTACACATTTCTGTAGAATAGATTCACAAACTGATATTACTGTTAAAAAGTGAGTTATAGCCAAAACCGGTTTGGCTCAGTGGTAGAGCATCAGTCTGTGGACTGAAAGGTCCCGGGATCGATTCCAGTCAAGGGCATGTATGTTGGTTGCGGGCACATCCCCGGTGGGGGGTGTACAGGAGGCGGCTGGTCGATGTTTCTCTCTCATCGATATTTCTGGCTCTCTATCTCTCTCTCTTCCTCTCTGTAAAAAATCAATAAAATATATTTTTTTAAAAAGTGAGTTATAAAGCCATTAACTGGGAGGCTGTCCACATTCCATTGTTAAATGAAGACGAACGATGCAGACAGATCTACTGATATAAGATGGCCTTGGCCCTCTGGTGTATATGTAATGTGTTTGTCTCCATGTGTGAACTTGTAGAAAGAGGTGAGGAGAAACATATCAGGCAATTACCATTGGTACGATAATTAAGGCAAGGAGAGGAGAAGGAAAAAATGCTGTAGCAAAATGGAAAAGTACTCATGGTATCGTGTTCAATAAAAAATGATTATGATATTCTATCTATAATTGCTAATATGTAAATGTTTAGTGATTGACTAGATCTAGAGCAAACAATCAGGAACAGAGAAACATGGTTTGCAGAAATAATGTGATTGTGGATGGTTGTGGTCTTTGATTCTTTGGCTATCTTTAATATTGTTTTTGTAGCTAATTTCCAATGAAAGGAAGGTGGTTGGGACCTGACCGTATTGTGGCAGGCCTTGAATGTGAGCTGAGTTGCTTATTTGTGGGGAAGCCATGCATATCAGCTGAACATTGTGGTGGGGAGGCTTTGATTTTAGCGGCACTGTGAAGTAGCTTTCCAAGTTTGGGATGATCAACATCTAAGGAGATGTAATAGCCCAGATAGGTTTTAAATTTGAAATGAGGTAGCCAACAGACATGACTTTAAAATTGGGAAAATATCTCTATTATTGATTTGGTTTTATTATGCTGAAATTCAAATAGGGTAGCTGAACAGAACACTGAATGAGGATCTTATAGTTTTGGAGTTAGGGAAATTACTTATCCAGTATCTCAGTTTTTCTTGAGATTAAGGAGAGATATGAAAAGGTAAAATATGAAACAGGTTGTACCATTTCTCATTTTAACTTTAAGGTGTCAGAATGGTTCACTGTTTTAATATTAAAACAGTCTGTAAAACTTTATATTAAATTTAGGTATTTTGTTTCTGCTTTGGTTTTCAGTCGTATTGGAGAATCATGTAGTGACAGACGAAGATGAACCAGCTTTGAAACGCCAACGATTAGAAATCAATTGCCAGGACCCCTCTATAAAGGTAAAAATACAAATATATATTATTATTTAGTTTCCTATAGGTTGCCATAACAAATTGTAAAAACTGCAGAACCTAAAACAACAGGAATTGATCCTCTCACAGCTTTGGAGACCAGAAATCTGTACGCAATGTGTGGGCAGGGCTGTGCTTCCTCCAGAGACTAAGGCAGGATTTTTCCTGCCTCTTCTGGCTTCTGGTGGCTCCAGATAATCCTTGGCTTGTGGCAGCATCACTCCAATCTCTGCCTCCATTCTCACACTGCCTCTTCCCTATATGTCAGTGTGTTTCACTTTCTCTTTTCTTCTAAGGGAATTATTATTGAATTTAGGGATCACCCTAATCCAGGGAGATCTCAACTCGAGATCCTTGACTTACTTACATTTACAGAGACCCTTTTCCAAATAAGACCACATTTATAAATTCTTGGGATTAGGATATAGATGTATTGTTTTTGGGAGTCATCATTCAATCCCCTTAAAGGTTATGAAGAATCAACATTGTTTAGAATGAGATGCTGCCACATGAGGCATCTTCCTCTACAACCACAGACCTGTTATGGACAGAAGGAAAGAGAACAATTTGTGTGGCTAATATTTCCCACTAGTGCTGAAGTACTTCTGTACCTACCATGTAAGTGTCCTAAATTTCAAAGTTTATTAGAGGTGGATTGGGAAACTACTGAGTCAGTCAGTCAGTGGTTTTGGATCTTTGGATTTACTTTTTTGGTTTAGTGTTTACAGAGTCATTTAGATAAATATCAGTACATGTGAGAAGTTTCAGCATTGCAAATGAAAACTATAGTGGCTTTTCATGTATTATAAATCCCTCTATTTAGAGACATTCATATCCCCCAAAACATAACACTTTTGTTAAAAAGGGGAAGTAGTGTAAGCTTAAACATGAAGGCGATTTAAAAGTATATTCATCCTAGCTGGCATGGCTCAACCTATGAACCAGGAGGTCATGATTTGATTCCCATGAAGGGCACATACCTCGGTTTCAGGCTCGATCCTCAGTGGGGGGCATGCAGGATGCAGTTGATTGATGATTCTCAATCATTGATGTTTCTATCTCTTTCTCCCTCTTCCTTTCTCTCTGAAATCAATAAAAGTATTATTTAAATAACCTATACTCACACTTAAATTTCTGTTTCTGACTAATGGTTAGAAGGTAGCTGATTAGTAACATCAAATTACATTTTAAAATAAAATGCAGTTATAATTTTACCACCGGAGATACTCATAAACATAAACAGTACATAAATGTATAAAGTAAAAAATGAAAGTGGGCTGGCTTCAGCCCTAGTTCTACTGTCAATAAGTTAAACCTTGGGCTCTGGTTTGAAAACTGCCACATTTGTGTGCTGTTTGGAAAAGTTTGCTCACCAAATTGCCAAGAACTCTTCTCTCTAATGAATAGATTTGAATGCAAATGGCTAATATCACTTATATATAAAAAGACATTAAAAATATTCTGTGCTCTTTGTATCATGAATTTGTTTGATAATTGTTTTATTATCAAACAGTGAATTGTGCCCAAACCCCAGGTAGAATCATTTGTAATTTAGAGTTAAAATAATAAGGTTTTACTGTATCTTAAGAATTCTGGAGCCCAGTGTTTGATGCCTGGAGTGGAGTTTTAAGTGATTTTATCTCAAGAATTCAGCGACCAATGGGTGGTTCTAATGGTGATTTACATTAGGTGAACCATGGAAGTCACCTCTCTATAGATCATGGATGATGGGATGTGTGCACTGTGTGTGCCTCTGGCCCCTGTCACACACTTGCTCCAACGACCTGTTCTCCTGAAGGCAGGCAGTCATTGGGGGACGTGGAGGTTAGCCCTTGCTTTATGTTAGCACTCATGATGAGTCTCATGGGGGGGAGGGAGGGTGATTGCTTGAGACAAAGTGAGTTGTTTGGACAATGTGCAAGTTTTGTTTACTGCATTGCTGTCCCTTACTGTCACATTTACCAGGCAGTTAGACAAATGCATTTAACTTTTTCACAAGATAACTTCAGTCTGTTGAAAAATGTACTGAATAAGAATATCCATATTTTTCTCCTCCCAGACCTCGATGCCAGCTACATGATATGATATTGCTCTAATTTTGCATTTTTGTTTCACACTAGAAGGGCAGCAGGCCCTAGGAAGGCTGTAGGCCAGGAGCAGTTAGATGGCATGTCTGTCAGTCAAATGGAGGCTGGCCTTTTACGTGAGCAGAAAAGCCGAGAGAAAGAGGAAAGGCAGAGTTTGCATTATTTTCAGCTGTTGGTTCTCAAGCCAGCCTTTCTAGTAAATTGAACTATTGGATACTTTATGAACTTGCTTCTAACCAGCACTCTGAATCTTTCTATTAGCTGGTGAGATAAGTTTTGAGTGTTTGCCGCACAGTGAAAGTCTTACCTGAAAACATGCTTCTGTTTGTATTCTTGTCAACACACGGCAGGACTGGAAGTGTGGGAAAGTGGAGAATTTTCCTGTCTGTTGTGTGTATTTGATATGTTTCTTGGGTCTGGAGTCATGAATGTCACTGCTTACTGTGATCAATTGGAATTAGTAATTGAGACTTGGCTCAGAAGTGATAATCAAGTGTGAAGCTGCTCTTCATGTCAACCACTAGGTGGCAGGCATACTATTTATAACTTTTTTTTTTTTTTAAAACCAAATTTCGACAATGGGGCACTAGTGATTATGTGAATGTGCAGGACCAGTAATTTCCATGCTTTTTTGATGTTACAGGTAAATGTGTTTTTATAGTTAGAAAGTTTTTATGTGCAAATTTATTGATTAGTAGAAGAAAATCCTAAAAACTACATATATTTCTATCGTATGGACTTAAGCGTTACTAAGAATCACAACTACACAAAGAAGTAAAACCATGATTTAGTAGTCACATTTAAATATAAGAGGTTGAACTTGTTTACTCAAATGTTTCTGGCATGTAACTAAAGAGCTAACGTCCAGGATTGTCCTATTGGAGTAGATGTGATTCAGATTAGGAAATAGCCATTGGGATTCCTTAAAGTTCAAGATATCCCTTCTGAAGTTTTTCTTTTTTTCACTTCCAGTCATTCCTGTATTCCATTAACCAGACAATATGCTTGCGATTGGATAGCATTGAAGCCAAGCTGCAAGCTCTCGAGGCTACTTGTAAATCATTAGAAGAAAAGCTGGATCTGGTCACGAACAAACAGCACAGTCCCATCCAAGTCCCCATGGTGGCGGGCTCCCCTCTCGGCGCAACACAGACATGCAACAAAGTGCGATGGTAAGAACAGACCTGTGGACTGTGGTCACTGCCTCACACAGGCTCCTCCATATAGTTATCCAAATTGTAGTACACAGGAGGGCATCTGCCTCCAGCTTCAGGGCCCTATTTCACTTAGACTCAAACTAAGCACGTGATACCCTACTGCCCTGGCTTCGAGTCATCTTTACAGTTTCTTTCTGACATGAACCAGACTGGTGCATCTTTTCTGTGGAATTAACCCATGAGATCTTGGAAGATGTGCATTGGTTTCTTTGTTGTTGTTGTTCTATCTGGTGAGTCCTTAGATATTTTTTCTTCTTATAAGTATTTTTAAATTTTATTTGAGTATATCAAACTTTCCATTCATGTCTGTAGTTTTTTCTAAAATCCTCACTCAAGGATACTTTTTCCATTTTTTAGAGAGCGGGGAGGGAGAGAGAGAGAGAAAGTGAGAAAGATTAATGCGGGAGAGACACATTGACTGGTTGCCTCCCACATGTGCCCTGATGGGTGCAGGGGCGGGGTGGGAGTGGGAGGAGGGAGAACAGGGATTGAACCAAAACCCAGGTACGTGTGCTTGACTGGGAATCGGACCTGTAACCTCTCAGTGCATATGCCGACACTCCAGCCACTGAGCAATACCGGCCAGGCCATGTCTGTAGTTTTTATTGTGCTAATTAAAAAAAAATTAGAGCCTTGTCTTAGTTGAATGTGTGGTAGTGCATGTGCTGTTTAAATTGAAACTTTATGAAGAATTTGATTAGATTGGAAATATGTTTATATATTTATAGTCCATTGAACCTGTCTCTTACCTAGCTCCCAAGACGAGTTAAAGCTCAGCCCTGGGCAGCAGTTCCATTAGTCCTGTTGGTATTTTTGTGCTTTCCCACCGCTGGCTACAAAGAAACCATATTCGTGATGGCGGCAAAATTTCTCTCTGTACTTGACGACAGCTTGAAGTGTTTTTTCCTGAGGACTCTTCTGTTGTGTTCTCATGACTGCTGCTTCCTGTCCTGTGTGTCTGTGAGGAGGAAGGACAGGGGGACCTGGGGAGATGGGGTGGAGTCATGGTAGATGCAGAGGAGCAGGAATCACAGCAAGACAGAAAGACAGTAACTGGCCTTACTGCCAGAGTAGGCTGGGTCCCAGAGTGTGCCTGTGTGCTCTGGGGACAAGAGCAGCATTAGGGACTTTGTGGACTTTTCAGGGGAATGTGGGATTGAAGAGGGGCTCCTGATTGGTTTTGGAAAGCTCACAAATGTGCCTCAGTTTCAAGGTGGCCACTTGTCTTGCTTTGTCTGGAGCAGCTGTGGATGACGCCTGCTGAGTTGGCATAACTGGTGCATCCTTTGACTCTCAGAAGTGTCCTGGGTGTTTGAGACACTGCATGGCCTCTACACCTGATCTCCAGCTGTGGGTCAGGGACTCTGGGGATCTCCTTCCCTAGAGGAGAATGTGGGGCAGTCTGTGGTGCTGTTGTGAGACAGGGCCTTTTGCCCTGGTTTATGTTTGGTCCTAATAATTCACCCATGTGTTTACTCCCAGCAAACACTGGTTGAGCATGTCCTCTGTGCAGGAAGTGAATCTCAACCCTATCATACCCAGTGCTTTTTTTAAGAAAATAATTTTTTAATACCCTCTTATTTTAAAATGCAGGGTTTAGAAAATATAATTTATAATTAAAATATGAATATAGTGCCCTAAGTTTAATGGAAGGAGAAACAGAAGGGTAGTAGTATATAATAAAATCACATATATTTCAATATGTAAATGGTGGGAGTTACTTCATAAGAAGGCAGTGAATAGGCCAGATGCCCAATCCATCCCTCTTGAATCCTGGTGACTCATGCTAGCTGGTGATGGGATAGTATAAAATGATGAGAAATTTTGATGAAGATTCAAATAAAGCCCAGTGTAATTTTTCTCTAGACTTAAACAATAGTTAAATTTCTGGAATATTCAAGTTTTACAACTATCCAATAATATCCTATCCAATATAAGAGTAATATACAAATTGACCATCACTCCAACACACAAGATGGCTGCCCCCATGTGGACACAGGATGGCTGCCACTAGATGGCTTTTATTAGTATAGATATTTCCTATGCTGTACTTTATATCCATATGACTATATTGTAACTACCAATTGGTATTTCTTTAAAAGCATAGTTTTAAAGAGGGTATGTGTGAGTGATTTTTAAAGAAGATACTACATTTGGCATTTTTCTCCAGGTAAGTTCTGAAAATGAGAAAAAAAGGCAATAATTGAAAGCTGTTAATAAGGAATTTTGGGGAGAATTAGGATAAAAACTTAATCCCAATATATCAATTGAAAAAAATATATATTTAAACTAGAAAGTTACTAATTTGTAAACACATATAAGTAAATGAGAATTGTATGTTTTAAAATGGGTAGTGGAACATATAAAAGTCTCCCAAAGCAAGTGAAAATGGTTTAACATTCTGAGTAATAAGGTACTTCTACAAATTGTTTATGTTGGGCCTCAAATATTTAAAATAAAATTTTAAACTATATAAGTCCTAGATTATTTTATATCCAAATTGTATGCTTTTAAAAATTACTTAAGATTCCTTAGGCCCATTTACATTTGTTGTGAATGTATGCAGACACCATAAAGGTCTTTTCAGTAATGAGGCCTCTGGATTATAAGCTTTTCACTGAAATACCACTCTCGCTTCTCTTTGGAGGCTGCACAGGGCTCAAAGCCCAGCCCCACCTACAGGGCCTGGTGCAGCCTTGGGGTTGCGGGGCCCACCTTTGAATCTCAATCTCTCTCCCTCTCTCCCTCTCTCTCCTCCCTCCCTCCCTCCCTCCCTCCCCCTCCCTCCCTCCCTCCCTCCCTCCCTCCCTCCCTCCCTCCCTCTCTCTCTCTCTCTCTCTCTCTCTCTCTCTCTCTCTCTCTCTCTCTCTCCATGTTGAAATCCACTCTCCTGTTGATTATTTTTTATTAAAACTGGCCCAGACTAGATCATGGTATCAGCTCTGAGAGTTATTCTCTTTAATCCCTGGAGCATAGGGGCGGTGGACTGCTGCCAACCTCACCTGGTATTTTGGGTCCAGATTTTCAGATTCTACACCTGAATGAGATTCTTTAAATAAATTCAAGAAAGAAAGAAAGAAAGTCTTTTTCTTTGATGCTAAAACTTAATTATTGTAGTAAAAAATGTGAGGTTACACCCACAATGGTCTTCTAATTGAGGAATAGAAAAATAGACTTGAATTCTTCTAGGTAGGTGCTTTTTTATTTCCTCAAACGTGTGCCCATATTTGGTTTTTGCTTATTGTAATGCCCGAAGTAGTGAGGTTTTGTTTCGCATTGGTATTGGGGAAGTCTGTATAGTAGAGTAGGCTCTTCCTTTAAATGCCCAGCTATGAGCATTCCAGGAAGGACTTTAATTTTATTATGTGGACTGAAGGGACAGGGACATTTATACTATAGATAAGTGTGAAAACCCCTCTTTTGCACTTTCTTGAGATTAGACATAAAGCCATTTGAAGAAAGTGCATTAGTAGGACATAGCTGGGCTTGGTGTTGGCTTGATGTGGGTGCTGTCCTAGTTGAAGACCGAGCTGGAAGGCCAGCATGACTGCACACATGCAATGCATGGATCATGGGATAGAATACCAGCTTGTCCAGGGGGATCTTTTAGAAACAGACTGTTTGATACGTCAGATAGCAACTCAAAACCCAGATGTTTGGGTTTTGTTTTCATTAACATATTGACTAACTAGAAAAATACTTATGTTTCTTGTTTTTCAAGTCAATAGATTTCTATTTTGTTACTTTTTAAAAATATGTTTTTATTGATTTTAGAGAGGAAGGGAAAAGGAGAGGGGGCCGGGGAAGGGGAGGGAGGGAAGGAGGGAGGGAGGGAGAGAGAGAGAGAGAGAGAGAGAGAGAGAGAGAGAGAGCGAGCGAGAGCGCGAGCAAGCGAGCGAGCGGGAGAGAGAGAGGAAGAAACAGAAACCGCTCTCGGATCGGTTGCCTCCTGCATTTCCCCTACTGGAGACCAAGCCACAAACTGAGCATTGTGCACTGGCTGGGAATTGAACTAGCAACTTCTTGGTGCATGGAAACCAATTGAGCCACATCAGCCAGGGGTTCCATTTTGTTATTTTTTATATGCACAAGTAAGCTTTTTCCTTGATTTTATTTGTTTTGGAGAGAAGAAGGGAGGGTGGAAAGAGAGACATGAACTCTTGATTGATTAGTTGCCTTCCATACATGCCCCAACTGAGAATTCAACCTGCAACTTGAGTATGTGCCCTGATCAGGAATTGAATCTGCTACCTTGCCACCTTGTGCTGTACATGACTGTGTGCTAAACAAATGAGCCACACGGGTCAGGGCACACAAGTGGTTTATTTTGATTGAGCTGAGATTGACATAACAAATTTTTATTTTTAAAAGCTTACACATGTTTTTACAGCTTAGTGTGTTTCTACAATTATAAAATAATTAAATTAGAAGCTTCTTTAAAATCCTCTGAAAGTAAAAAGGTGATTAAAAATAAAAGCATGTTTTGATTGATTTCAGAGAGGAAGGGAGAGGTAGAGATGGATAGAAATATCAATGCCTCCTGCATGCCTCATACTGGGGATCAAGCTCCCAACCTGGGCATGTGCCCTGACCAGGAATCTAACCATGACCTTCTGGTTCATAGATTGATGTTCAACCACTGAGCCACGCATGCTGGGCAAAAGTGATTTAAAGTTTTTCTTACAGAGAGATGTATCATAAGACATATAGAGGGGGGACATTTTTTTCTTTTCATCTTAACTGATTATTGATCCACAGAAAACTGAAATTATTTGATCAAGAAATTATTTAAATTATGCTGGTTGCTGATTTTCTCTTTACTTCCCAGAGGGTCTTTTGTTTTCAATTTGCTGGATATTTGTGGAAGGACTGTTTTGGTCTTTGAGCCTTTATGGCTCTGGATAGAAAGAGACCTCACTGACTCTGTGCATCTCGTTCTGGCATTGGAGCACTGG